AACTTAATAAATTGACGATGCTGAAGTTCCCTCGCTCGTATACAGTTAACGAGTTGTATGACTGGCTCCACAACATGATCAAGTTGCAATACAGATTTACACAGGGCTTGATGGATTATGCAGTGCAGGAAAATGACATCCAGCTCAGGATTTTCCTCTTTCACTTTATCCTGGATTCTTTTCAGCAGCCTCGACTTTTTTTCCTGTTAAGTTTGGCGATCCATCTGTGGTGAAATTGGCAAGTTTACTCCAAGGTAGCTTCAGCCTCTTGATGACATACAGTTCTTAAGACCCAAACTGCGTTTTACGTCGCTGATTTTCTCCGCAACACCGCTCACAACATCAATAGAGGACTGCGTCGGGTAGTTTTTAATCATACAAAGCCAGATTAAATTAAATAACTACTTCTCCAGCCTTATACCTTTCTCCAGAGTGCCATGGTGCATTGTTTATTAATGTGTTTCAGTGGCATTATCGCCCGCTGGAGCGCGGCTCGTCCACCGGAGATTCTTCTCCCGTTAACTCACAGCAGCGGCCGCTGGAAAGTATTCACTGTCCGACTGTCACACAAGCAGTTGAGAAATATTCCCCATCACCAGTGAATGTGTGTCAGTCTGAATTGATGCTGTTTGGCATCACAACGCTGTTTCTCTGGCATTCTACAGGTGGTGTTAGCATAGCAACCGAAGCTAATCAGACTATATTGACTACTTGTTGATATCATATTGTGGCATAAATCGGCACATTTTACCGGCGTAGTTTTCGTTATGATTTTACTTGTGATGGCCACATGTAGCCCATGTATTGACTCCATCCGATAGCTGCAATAATACAAAACAGGAAAACATCTGCCTCTTCACAATTGTCAATAACGGTGAACGGATGGTCATTAAAGTAAGGTAAAATAAACAGAATCACACCAAGCTGGTTAGTGTTGCCTGACTTTATATAAGTGTTTTTTATAAGTGTGTGGTCGCGTTTTAGTCGCTTTGCTCAGCGCTACTACTTAGCGTTACAACTTGTATTCGCTGTACTCGCCATGATTGCTCAGGTTAATCTCAACTTCCTCCATTGTAAGGGTGACGTATGCGGTTCTTAGATCCTGCCGGGTTGCCGAGTGGTCAATTGCGCCATCTAGTGGAATAAACTGAAATTACGGGGTTGCAGGAAAAAGGCAAAATTAATGCGGTCATTACTATAATTTGGACAATTTTGTACCAATATTTGGCGGGCCGGATTAAAAAGTCCAACGGGCCGTATGTGGCCCGCGGGCCTTAGTTTGCCCATGCGTGCTCTGGACTCTCGCATTTTTAAGGTGGAATGGATCAGCTATCACTCTGGACTCTCGCATTTTTAAGGTGGAATGGATCAGCTATCACTCTGGACTCTCGCATTTTTAAGGTGGAATGGATCAGCTATCACTCTGGACTCTCGCATTTTTAAGGTGGAATGGATCAGCTATCACTCTGGACTCTCGCATTTTAAGGTGGAATGGATCAGCTATCACTCTGGACTCTCGCATTTTTAAGGTGGAATGGATCAGATATCACTCTGGACTCTCACATTTTTAAGGTGGAATGGATCAGATATTACTCTGGACTCTCGCATTTTTAAGGTGGAATGGATCAGCTATCACTCTGGACTCTCGCATTTTTAAGGTGGAATGGATCAGATATTATTCTGGACTCTCGCATTTTTAAGGTGGAATGGATCAGATATCACTCTGGACTCTCGCATTTTTAAGGTGGAATGGATCAGATATCACTCTGGACTCTCGCATTTTTAAGGTGGAATGGATCAGATATTATTCTGGACTCTCGCATTTTTAAGAAAAATTAGCTAATATCATTTTGTAGACTGTACATTATACAATGCCCATGTATGCCTTATAATACTTCCTACCTGCAGTTTATTTGTTGTTTACAGCCACACAAGCTTACAATATTGTAAGAAATGGCACAACAATGAGAAAAAACATGATAGAAAGATTAATCTGGGGTGGAAAAAGTACTTAAATCAGGTAATTCTGTAAAGTTGTAATATCTCGGTGTAGAAATACTCGATTAGAAGTGATTCTAAATGTTACTTAAGTAAAAGTACAAATAAAGCACAGGCAGACTGGCCATTTTCAAATGAATAAATATTGTATTGATGGATTATAATTGTGTTTCATGAATGTGTAATATTACCATTTTGCAGCTGGTAAAGTTGGAGCTTTAATTACTTTCTATTCTGGCAGGTACAGTATATTAATTCATCAGAGGATTTATATTTCATATTGATAGAATGAACCTGTGTTTATCCAACAATAAGATGACCCCGGCTGTAGAGAGCCACATAGAAAGATTATATGACCTTAATAAAAAAGGGGAATGATGTAAGGTTATGTTATATCCGTGACTGTATAAAAAGATTGCATTGAATGATAGTGGTTCCTCTGGCAATTCATCATTTGAAATATAACGCTCCTATCTCCCGTCCAGAGAAAATAATGAATAGAATAATTAGATTTAGGGGACACATAACTATTCTTGTAAAATACAGTGAGTAAAAAGTACACTAGCTTTAAGATTGTAGTGGAGAATGAGTTGAAAGTAGCCTAACATGGAAATACTCAAATAAAGCACCTCAAAATGGAACTTAAAGGTCCCCAATCATACTGTTTTTCATCGATATATTATAGGTCTCAGATATATACAGAACATGTCTCTGATTGGCTGAAATACCAAACAGATCATTGCAGCATTACCCATAATCCTCTCTGTTTCAGCCCTGTTTCCAAAGTGCTGATTCTCTGTCTGTTACTTTAGATGAAAATAAGGAGCCCCTCCCCACGCCCCTCTGAGATTTGGTTACAAAGAACTCAATGGTGCTCTAGGAGGAGATTCAGGTGATAAGGTGGGGGGGGGTTACCTTGGTTGCTGATTGGCTAACGGTTACACAAGACAAAACATCGTTATGACATCATAAAGTGGCCAAAATCTGATCAGCTCATTTTCAGACAGGTTTTTATAGAAATGGATCAAAAAGTGAGAGAATCTTTGTTCCTGAAACTTTCAGAGTCTCTTTCCACAGAGGGGACACATGTTGATGTAGAAGAGACATGAAGAAGAGGGGACACATGTTGATGTAGAAGAGACATGAAGAAGAGGGGACACATGTTGATGTGGAAGAGACATGAAGAAGAGGGGACACATGTTGATGTAGAAGAGACATGAAGAAGAGGGGACACATGTTGATGTAGAAGAGACACGAAGAAGAGGGGACACATGTTGATGTAGAAGAGACACGAAGAAGAGGGGACACATATTGATGTAGAAGAGACATGAAGAAGAGGGGACACATGTTGATGTAGAAGAGACATGAAGAAGAGGGGACACATGTTGATGTAGAAGAGACATGAAGAAGAGGGGACACATGTTGATGTAGAAGAGACATGAAGAAGAGGGGGACACATGTTGATGTAGAAGAGACACGAAGAAGAGGGGACACATGTTGATGTAGAAGAGACACGAAGAAGAGGGGACACATATTGATGTAGAAGAGACATGAAGAAGAGGGGACACATGTTGATGTAGAAGAGACATGAAGAAGAGGGGACACATGTTGATGTAGAAGAGACATGAAGAAGAGGGGGACACATGTTGATGTAGAAGAGACATGAAGAAGAGGGGACACATGTTGATGTAGAAGAGACATGAAGAAGAGGGGACACATGTTTATGTAAAAGAGACATGAAGAAGAGGGGACACATGTTGATGTAGAAGAGACATGAAGAAGAGGGGACACATGTTGATGTAGAAGAAACATGAAGAAGAGGGGACACATGTTGATGTAGAAGAGACATGAAGAAGAAGGGGACACATGGTGATGTAGAAGAGACATGAAGAAGAGGGGACACATGGTGATGTAGAAGAGACATGAAGAAGAGGGGACACATGTTGATGTAGAAGAGACATGAAGAAGAGGGGACACATGTTGATGTAGAAAGAGACATGAAGAAGAGGGACACATGTTGATGTAGAAGAGACATGAAGAAGAGGGGACACATGTTGATGTAGAAGAAACATGAAGAAGAGGGGACACATGTTGATGTAGAAGAGACATGAAGAAGAGGGGACACATGGTGATGTAGAAGAGACATGAAGAAGAGGGGACACATGGTGATGTAGAAGAGACATGAAGAAGAGGGGACACATGTTGATGTAGAAGAGACATGAAGAAGAGGGGACACATGTTGATGTAGAAGAGACATGAAGAAGAGGGGACACATGTTGATGTAGAAGAGACATGAAGAAGAGGGGACACATGGTGATGTAGAAGAGACATGAAGAAGAGGGGACACATGTTGATGTAGAAGAGACATGAAGAAGAGGGGACACATGTTGATGTAGAAGAGACATGAAGAAGAGGGGACACATGTTGATGTAGAAGAGACATGAAGAAGAGGGGACACATGTTGATGTAGAAGAAACATGAAGAAGAGGGGACACATGTTGATGTAGAAGAGACATGAAGAAGAGGGGACACATGGTGATGTAGAAGAGACATGAAGAAGAGGGGACACATGGTGATGTAGAAGAGACATGAAGAAGAGGGGACACATGTTGATGTAGAAGAGACATGAAGAAGAGGGGACACATGTTGATGTAGAAGAGACATGGAGAAGAGGGGACACATGTTGATGAAGAAGAGACATGAAGAAGAGGGGACACATGTTGATGAAGAAGAGACATGAAGCAGAGGGGACACATGTTGATGTAGAAGAGACATGAAGAAGAGGGGACACATGGTGATGTAGAAGAGACATGAAGAAGAGGGGACACATGGTGATGTAGAAGAGACATGAAGAAGAGGGGACACATGGTGATGTAGAAGAGACATGAAGAAGAGGGGACACATGTTGATGTAGAAGAGACATGAACAATTGGATTTTGCATAATAGGTGACCTTTAAGAGGAAATAAATTGTAGAGAGAGTTGGTAAATGTGGTCTCTTACGTCTCCTCGCCTCCCGATCGATGCTCCTGACCGTTGCAGATGTTTTCCATGTCGCCTCCCTCTTTCTATCTCTCTCCCGCCGTATCACTCTCTCTGTCATCCGTCAATCCACACCTCCAGAGCGAGGGATCAGCACCGTCCATCTGCCTGTAGAAACAGAGAGACAGAGATACTTTTGTGAAACATTTCAAATAAAAACTGACGTTAATCCAGTAAGCCCCGGTTGTTATTTTACAACATCACTTTAAGCTATCCAAAGACTACAGTTACATAGTCAAGTGTTCCTTTAGTTCAGCCTCACAATTACAACACTATTGGGGAGTAAATGTGTTTATAGGTACTAGGGCTGCTCGATTATGGCAAAATCATAATCACGATTATTTTGGTCAATAATTGATATCACGATTATTAAATACGATTATTCATTGACTTTGAAAACATCAATTTATTGAACTTTAAAACAAATAATAATTTGAACAGTATCTTTTTAACTTTTGATTCCCCTGAACGTATAATTCAACTGAAAAACCAATGCAAAAATAAATTAAATAAATGATACATTTAAATAAATAATATCAAAATAATAAATACCAATGAACAAGATCAACAAATATTTTGGAGTGCACTTCCACAAGCTACTAAACATACATAAATATGATAAATAAATATAAATTAGACTAAAATAAATTAGATCATATATGTTGTAGTGCACTGTCACAACCTAGCAAAGCAAAATAATTGTTTTCGATTATGTTGTTTTCGTAATTGTGGCAGGCCAACATCGTAATTGCGATTAAAATACGATGAATTGCACAGCCCTATAGGTACTGCCCTCTGGCCATACACTCACACAACTTCAACATCTTCAAACAAGCAACATCTCAGATTCAAGTAAGTAAAAGGCCTCAAAATATTATTTTTTTGAGACTATTACAATGTCCAGAACATGTACATATTTAGTTATTGTGGAATACATGCATCACGTTTTACAACAACATCTGAAAGGTCAAAAATAAAGTGCACACACACACACACACACACACACACACACACACACACACACACACACACACACACACACACACACACACACACACACACACACACACACACACACACACACACACACACACACACACACACACACACACACACACACACACACACACACACACACACACACACACACACACACACACACACACCCGAGTGTGTAAAACTAAACCACAGGTATCTCCATATTAACCAGGCTCAGATTTCAAGGTTCATGCCAGCAATTAATTGGGATTAATTGGATTGAGTTGAGTTAATCAAATGTGAAATCATCCCTCTTTTCCCTTAATCATGACTAAATTGCTCATTTTTGAAAATGATTCAGGAACGACAAATCCAAAATTGGAATATTTAAATACCAATCAACTACGATAACACTTTTAACTAAATCTGATGGAGCCTGTTCTTTTGTTTAATATCTTTTTGAAGTTAAAGAAGATACCATCATTTTGTACATAATTCCCTAAATCAAATGAAAGTGGTTTTGATTTGATGCTTTTCAC